GTATTGTCTGTGAGTTCTGTGTGGCCATTGTAATGAATTATCAAAACCAGCAGAGAAGTAGAGAATTATCAAAACCAGCACCATGAGAGGGATGGTTGGTGTCAGAATTGGTAAAGATGGCGGAGAGAGAAGGCATGTCTCACCTCCGCCTTGTAGGAATCAGCCTTGGACTGTTGATCTGGATTCTCCTTCCCCCTTATGGAGTTAGAGGAGATCAGATACCACCCTGCCATTTTTACCATGTCACAGACAGTGACTGGAGGCTCAGGGGCTCCCACAAGTCACCCAGACTCCTATGTAAAAAGCAACATCGGGACTTGAACTTGGGTCTCTGTGGTCCAGGGTCTATGGGAACATCCATAGATCTCCATCCCCACAATGAATCAGCCTTGACAAGGAGGGTATTATGGATTGACGTATGACCCCCCCCAAAATAAGTGTTGTAAATCCCAACCCTTATACCTGTGGAAAGGAGCCCTGGTGACACAGTAGTTAAATGCTTGAATGCTAATCGAAAGCTTGGAGGTTCGACCCACCAGCCGCTCCTCAGGAGAAAGACCTAGTGATCTGCTTCCATAAAGATTACAGCCTTGGAAACTCTATGTGGCAGCTCTACTCTGTCCCATGGAGTCGCTATGAGTTGGAATTTACAAAGGGTTTTTTGGTTATACCTGTGGATATAATCCCATTTATGAATAGGGCTTTCTTTGCTATGTTAATGTGACATGTCAGTGTAGGGTTTGTCTTAAATCAATCACCTTTGAGATACAAAATGAGTAGATTAGGCACAGAGAAGTGAGCACAGATGGGGAAGACAGATACCACGCCACATGAACATGGCCAAGGAATCCAAGAACAGAAGGTGAAAAGAGACAAGGGCCCTCCCCAGAGCTGACAGACAGCAAGAGCCTGCTCCTGGAGCCATTCAAACTTCTAACCTCCTAAACTGTGAGAAAATAAATTTGTTTGTTAAAGGCACCCACTTGTAGTATTTCTATTATAGTAGCACTAGGAAACTAACACATATGGGAAGCATTTCTAATCATTCTTGCTGTGAAATCCTTTTCAGTCACCCCTGCAAATATTTCCATGGATCTGAACAGAGGGGCGGAGCCATCACCACCCACCTAACAGGTGAGCCACCACTAATCTGGGGACCGGCAAAGCCTGGCCCAACTCCCGTGTCCCCTGAGTTCTTCTGGCACCAGCAGACTCCCTGGGAGATGACACAATGAGACATCAGCCTCTCTTCCCTTCCTGAGTCCTACCAGCATATGGCCCGATGGCACTGGTACTTTCGGGACCAGGAGACATGAGGGAACAAGGATTATGTGGTTGTGACCATGAGAACATGGGCAGCAGCCTCTGACCAGCTACAATGTCTGTCCTGGGAGAGGGTTGGGCGGACAGCCGGCACACACTCTTGCCTTCTGAAAGTGGAGGAATCTTTGAGAACCAGAAGGCCCTCTTGTGCCTCCTTGAAAAACAAATGCTCCCTGCCTTTGTCCATAAGGGTCCCTCTATCCAGAATTGCTCCCCTTGCCCTCCTTGTGAAGGCCCCTGGATGGTGCAAATGGTTGCACTCGGCTACTAATTAAAAGGTTGGCAATTCAAACCCACCCAGTGGTGCCATGAAAGAAAGGTGTAGCAATTTGCTTCCATAAAGCTTGTTGTTATTAGGTGTCCAGTCGATTCTGACTCATAGTGACCCCATGTGACAGGACAGAACTGCCCCATAGGGTTTTCTTGGCTGTAATCTTTACGGAAGCATATCACCACATCTTTCTCCCATGGAGCCACCAGATGGGTTTGAACTGCCAACCTTTCAGTTAGCAGCCCTGGTGGCACGAGAGCCGAGTGCTGAACCACTGCACCACCAGGGCTCCTTATAGGCCACGGTGGAAGGTTTGAACTTCTCCTAAGTGTGCAATATGCCCCATGCAATACAGCACCACGCATTCTTCATGACCTATTGAGCACCTGTTATAGATGTGCACTGTTCTAGACTGGGGGTCCGGGGAAGAGGGAGGGAGGAAGCAGCAACCAGGAACTCACATTCCTGGGGCTGGAGACAGATCCTCAAAAAGAACCTGAATCCTTGAGCAAGATAATGTCAAACGGCACTAAGATATCCAAAGACAACAGAAGAGAGTGAGGGGGTCAGAGAGACTGGGGGCGACTTTAGAAGAGGAAACCCAGGAAGGTGTCTCTGAGCAGGGGCACTGGAGCGAGACTGGAATGAAGTGAGGGAGCCACGAGGACAAGAAGTGAATGACTAAGGCCATGTCCTGAGGATGACTGGGGCTCTGACGAGAGGAAATAGGGTGCTGGCTAGAGAGGAAGCCAGGCCCATTGTGTGCTTCCATCCAAATGCACACCTCGCTACTGCACTGAATATTTAAATATCAACCAATATTTAACTGACTCACTTTTCAGATACAAGTAAATGTCTTACATAGAAAAATGGAGTCACTGCTAAAAGTAGCAAGCCACCTCAGCTTGCAGTAAACGGGTGTTGTTGAATGCCATCAAGTAGATTCCAACTCATAGGGAGCCTATATGACAGCGTAGAACTGCTCCATGGCGCTTCCTAGGCTGTAATCTTTACGGCAGCAGGTCCTCAGGTCTTTCTTCCGTGGAGCCACTGGGTGAGTTCAAACTGCCAACCTTTTGGTTAGCAGCAGAGTGCTTAACTATTGTGCCACCAGGATTCCATCAACAGATAGTAACTGCAAAAATGAATCCAGTGACCTTCTTGGCTCCCAGCCTGTCTGAGGGCCCTCTTCATTCTAGCAGAAGAGCAGCAATTCCAAAAATGCTGCTCCTACTCTGCATTTGCTCCCAGGCTCCCCTTTCTCCTTTAGCCCACCGTTGGATACATGTCTGAGGCTGGGGAGACCCCCCAGGGCCGCAGTCCCCCAGGGTCCTAAGATCATCCATTAGGATGATCCTTATTGTTGTTGTTAGTTGATTCTGACTCATGGCAACTCCATGTGTGCAGAGTAGAACCTGCTCCATAGGGTTGTCAAAGCTATGACCTTTCAGAAGCAGATTGCCAGGACTATCTTCCGAGGCACCTGTTGGTGGGTTCAAACCGCCACCCTTTTGGCTAGTAGTCTAACGCCTAACTGTCTGTACCACCCAGGGACTGGTGTATGATCCCTTAGCCCCTAAAATCATCCCGGGGGAGAGTCATCCATCCCTAGAAACAGCATCCTGAGCAATGCTACCTGGCAGTGCCAAGCAATCGGAGACAAACAACAAACACATGCCCTCTCCAGTCCCACACTGCCATGAGGGGTGCCCTTCCAAGTCAGGGGGAGAAAGAAGTACAATTTCCATTCTAGACCCAGAGAGATGGCGGACAAAGGGAGTGATAAGACTTGTTCAAGGTCACAGCCCTGGGAAGAGACATGGCCAGAAAGGACACTGAAGTTTCCAGACTGTGGCACAAACACTTTCCTGAGGCTCTGTCCACTCAGATGGTGCAGGGACCAAGGGGTTCTGAGAAGCACAATTTCTCTCTTAATTGCATCATTGTGAAGACAAGGCCAGGGAAAAGGTCTCCCTGGACTCCATGTTGTTGCTGTGTGCTGTTAAGTCCATTCCAACTCATCGCGACCCTATAGGACAGCATAGAACTGCCCAATAGGGTTTCCAAGGCTGTAATCTTTATGGAAGCAGACTGCCACATCTTTCTTCCACAGAGCCACTGGTGGGTTCGAACACCAATCTTTCAGTTAGCAGCCAAGTGCTTACCGACGCACCACCAAGGCTCCTTTGGACCCCATAAATAACAGTAACGACCACAACCAGTACTCACAAAGCATTTTCTGGTTGTACTGAGCCGCATTCAGTGCTTGTCATACCTCGCCTTCCTCACCTCTCACCAGGACCCGAGAGAAGACCCTGCGATCAACCCCATTTCGCAGATGAGGAAACTGAGACCTGAGAGGCTTTGGACTCAGCAGACAGTCCTGCTGCTGAGCAGGGGCAAAAGGGGAAGCTGAAACCAGGTGGTCACTTCATAACCTGTTGCCCTGCTAGGACAGACTCACAGGCTGGGAGGGTGGCCGAACAGAGGGTGCCAAGTACTGCATGGAGGATGCAGAAGCCTTCCCCCCACCACACACACAGTCGACGCTCCACTCTCCATCCAGAGAAGTCTAGTAAGATGTAGGTCAGACAAAGGGTCAACAGCTATTTTAAAGCCTAGATGAGAAGGCTGGGGAGCAGGGAGATTAAGTAAAGGAAGTGAAATCAACTAGAACAGAAATAAGGAGAACATTGGCACAACATGAAAAATGTAACCAATGTCACTGATCAGGATGTTTAGAAGCTGTGGGATGGGACTGGGTTCTGTTGTGTATATTTTCACCAAAAATTAAATTAAATTAAAAAATAAACAAAACAAATGATCAGATTTAAAAAAAGAAAAATCTGGGTCAGAACACTGCCCTCCTGAGCTCCAAACCCACTGCCATCCAGCCAATTCTGACTCACAGCGACCCTATACGACAGAGTAGAACTGTTCCATAAGCTTTCAAAGGCTGCAATCTTTCCAGAAGCAGACTGCCGCATCTTTCTCAGGGGGAGTAGCTGGTGGGTTCGATCCTCTGACCTTTCAGTTAGCAGTCGAGGGCTTAACGGCTGCGTCAGCAGGGCTCACGCCACGGCTCCCACTACTCTCAAAATAGCACCAGCTCTGTCCCCTCGCTCTCTGTTCCCACCAAACAAAACGGAGACCTATTTTTCCATGAACACTTCCACCCAGCGCAGTCACATCTCCAAGCATTTGCACATGCTGGTTCCCGTGCCAGGGGCACCCTCCCACCTCGTTCCACTAACAGAGATGGAAACCCCGCTGTATAAACCATCCTCCAAGGGTCCCAGATTCAAAGGCATAGTGAGGGGAGGTCGCAGGGACTCAGGACAACAAACACCATGCTCTCAACGAGGCGCCGCAACAACATGGCTGAGCGGTGGAAGGAGTCCCTCACCTGCACCGGGTCCATCTGTACCACCGCCGCCGCCATGAAACCCTGTGGGCAGTGGGAGACCAGGGAGGGTCCCAGGGTTAAGCAGAGCCCGTACACTGCTCTGCCCTGGCGCTGGATCACCCCGGGTAGCACCACCGCAGACCCTCGAGCCCGCCTCTGTGCACCGAGACCTCGCTTCTCCTGGTGCCTTCCCGCTTCTGCCGGCTCCGGCTGCACCTAACGTGACTGCATACACCCCTGATCACGAGGACCGCACCAAGCTCAGCCAAAATGCACGCCACGAGGCTGACTCCGGAAGTCTCATCTCGCCTTTCACGTGGCCGGAAAGAGCCGGTGCCGACAGTCCTGGGCTATCATTGGTCTAGAGCTACTGCCTCTCTCACTGCCGAGTCTACTTACCGGCTAATGTAATTCTCACAGCTCCATCAGCCTCTGCGAGGGGCGAACTTCTTAAATTCCCGGGCAAAGGGCAGGGGCACAGAGAGGGCCTCTAGGAAATGTTTCAGGCGGGCAGGGATTCTAGGAGTCTTCTTAAAGCACCTTTCCCACTTCTAGGCAATGTATTCTGTAACTAACCAGAAATGTTTGGAGACTTAGTGTTTCAGATATTCCTAAAGGGAAACATTCCACATGGAAGCACCATACTACAGCGACGCTAGAGACAAGGCAAATAGACTGATGTAAAGGAATAAAACAGACTCACTTATATATGAGAAGGTCCCTGGGTGGAGGAAACAGTTTGTGCTCAACTGCTAACCAAAAGGTTGGTGGATTGAACCTCTCCCCACTCCCCCAGCACTGCTGCAGAAGAAAGGCAATCTGCTTCCATAAAGATGACAGCCAAGAAAATTCCATGGACCTCTGTTCTACTCTGTAACACACGGAATCTCAGTGATTGGGTATTGACTAGAGAGCAATGAGTATATATGAGAGATTGTCTTAGGCTGGGTTCTCTAGAGAAGCAAAGCCAGTAAAGCATATAAATAGAGACATTTTTATCAAGGAAACAGCTCATGCGATTGTAGAAGCTAGAACGTCCCAAGTCCGTGGATCAGGGTAGGGGCCTCTCCCAGTTCACGCAGCCACAGAAGCTGGAGAACCAAAGGTCAGCAGGTCAGAGAGCAGGGCTCCTGCTCACAGGCTGTGAAGGTCGACGAAATCCAAGATCAGCAGACAAGACCGCAAGGTTTCTCCTGATTCACGTAGATACAGGGGCTAGTGCACCGAAGATCAGCAGGTTGAGGAACAGGACTCTTGGCTCGCAGGCTGTGAAGATAGATGAATTGCTAGCTCAAGTCCCAAGAACTGGAGGTGAGACAAGAGGCAGCTGCTGGGTCTGGAACAAGCCAAAAAACTTGGCAAGACGAGCAGGAAGGAAGTAGCTGGCAGAGGGTGGAGAGATGAAGGCTGAGGAGGCGGTGAGCTACCACAGGCTCTGCCCCCGCTGGTACCACTCAGCAGATTCCATCATGGGGGTGATGACATATCAAATTTCAACAGGGAAGTGATCACAACATTATACAACTGCCAAAACACTGAGAATCATGGCCTAGCCAGGTTGACATACAATCTTAACCATCACAATCCACCCCTTGTCAACTTGGCACCTGTACACATCTCCTGAAACCATACATAATCTCTGAATAAAGACAATTACAATGTCATACTTGCACCTAACATGATACAACTAACGCGTACAATCGAAAACACACTAGCCCTGTTTACGTCTTATATTTTATAAGTGAAGGAAACAAAAATATTTGATGTACACATACAAAGCAGAAATACTCATGACAGTTACAGTCCCTGTTTCTGCAATTAGTCACATGACTGTAACTGGTATTTAGAACTACCTTCTTCACCACCAATTCTGTATTCCCTTTGCCCTCAGCAAGGACCTCAGCTGGTCATGGTTCTTTGTCTTGTGTGGAGACCCAAACCTTCATTCCTGAAGGGTCTGGGTTGTTAGTAGTCATGTCGGAATTGGGTTGCTGTAGTTTTCCATTGACTTTAATCACAGGACATAGTAGTACTAGGAGACACCCTAAAGGATCCCCTGCATTCCAGACATGCTCTTCTTTACCTCCATTATGTGATATCAATCCAATTTCCTCTTGGTAATCAGGATCGATCATGCCAGCCAGTATGGTAACTCCTTTCTTTGCCTGTAATCCAGAGGCATAAGGAACCCAAAGTAGCCAGGTGGCATTCTTAGCTTCCAGTTCAACGGAATCAGTGATGTGTCCCCAGGTGGGAGCGTTCCTCCCTTTGGAACTAAGACCTCTAGACCCATAGAGCATAAGGTCACAGGGACAGGAAGCGAAAATTTTGCAAGTGGGTCACTAGAGGTAATAGTGAGTGGTGCCACTCCCATTTCCACCGCTTGATTCCTGGACCTATGAATCCTAGCTATGGGAGAAACAGCACCATATATTGGACACTGGTTTAGAGCATATACAGCCTCCTGGAGAACACTACCCCAACGCTGCAAGGTATTGCCACCTAGATGGCACTGTAATTGTGTCTTTAGAAGGCCATTCCACAATTCTATCAA